AAGGGTTTTGGTGACCGATTACTGAGCGAGGTAAAGAAACTTGCCGTCAAGGATATGCGCATCAAGATCTTTGCCCCGCCCGAGCGCAAATACTCGACCTGGATCGGTGGCAGCATTTTGGCTGGATTGAGCACATTTAGAAAAGTTTGTTTTTCCTCTCTCGCTTCGTAATATGACTCTTATTTGAATACACACTGACTATCTACGGAATAGATGTGGGTTAGCATCGATGACTGGCACGAGGATCCCGACATTATTCATAAGAAACTCACCTAATCGAACCTCATCAGCAACAATGTAAACCTAAAAAGAACAAGAAAGATTAGAAAGAGTAGAGCCGCTTGGAGATGGACACCAAAGAATCAAATAACCAAGTTAAAGCTTTGCCAACAGCACAGCTCCACAACACCTTTCCCATATTTTACATGTAGTAAGAAAGTGGTTTGGGTTATATTTGTATTTTGGAAGCACGTCCAGAACTACGGCCTTGTTGAGAGGTGGAGAATGAGCCTAGGTAGACTTCTACAGCCATGTACGGTGCGTAGCAAATTTTAGCAGTGGAAGTAGATTACAGCCGAAGGCGGAGGCTGGAGGGGAAGAGGTGTTGAGGTAAGACGTGGAGAAAGGTGAATGGAGGCGAGGAACTAATCATCTTAAGGTAGATGAATGATACCCATTTGTTGAGCATGATTTTCAAGTGTTTTGGTTGTGCTAGAGAGATCATCATGAGTAGAATAACGTGCCCCAGTAAAGTAGTAGCATGACATCGCATTACGACATATTACAGAAACCGAACATTTTGCAGTTGAACTGATCGTCAAGATTTCCCCTTGTCCCTCTGTGAAGGGCTTATGCGGAATTCTACATATGTACAAGGGCAGGCGCCGAACGCTTTGATGTCTTTCTGGAGTCTCTTATCTTTTCAATTCGTTCCAATCCGATTCTCGAATCTTCTTTCCTTCTTTCGTCCTTTCTTTCTTTTCTCTCTTGTGAAGAAACACACTGTCCCGGAGTCTGCCAGCCGGAAATACGACCAAACCCATGGAGCGGGATTGCGCTGTGTGCGGGTATATGAAAGAAAAAAAAAAGGTTCGATCCCCAATCCATCGTGATTCCTCCCCTTCTTTTCCAATCCAATCCAATTCAATTCAATTCGAAAGAGCCCGCTTGCTCATGGCCTCTCGAAAAATAACCCATTAAATCCCAAATAACTTTTCTATCGCCCATGCCCTTGGTGAACACATATGTCGCTGATAGGTCGTTGCCCAGCCATATTTTCGCCCGTTGTCGTCCGTGGTCTCGTACATATAAATCCACCCATCCGTCCGTAGCGCCGTGCTTATCTTGTTGATTGTTTAATGATGATGATGATGTTTAAAAAAAGGTCCGACGTTGAAGTAAATATAAACAGCAAAAGTGGAGAGTGTGATTGATTGATAGCGCCCGTCTGAGATGTTGAAACGGTGCATCGGCGAAGTTTGAGGAAGAAGTAGATGGTCGAGTTTAACGTAGGTAGGTTAGGTAGGTAGGAACCCCAAAATAACCCAAACGCTTCGTCTAGCGACGGCTAAAGGCAGAGCTCACACGCTCGATGAACGAGTTAGCCGAGCTGGTGGAGCTGCCGCCGTCGCTGTCCTTGCGCCTGGGGCTGGGCGCGGCGACGTCGTAGATGTTGCCGGCGCCACCTCGGCCGACGTAGCCGACGCGCTTCTGCTCGATCTGGTTCTGGAGTTTGAATTCCTCGTCGAACGACATCACGGGTCGCTTCTCTGAGACACGCGCATTGCCCGCGCCGCCGCGGCCGGAGTAGAAGTTGGACATCGAGGGAGGTGTCACCTTGGACTCGGTCGGCACGCCGCTTGAGGGTGTAGTTGCAGGTGCGCGGAAGTAGTTACCTGCGCCACCTCGGCCGGAGTGTGTGTAGGTGTTCTGCCCGACTGTGGGGTGAGGCTCGGCGATGGTGAATCGAGGCATAGTGATGTTATGGTGAGTGGATGTTCGGCTGTGTATGCTTGCTGAAGGCTGGCTGCGGTATAGTCTTCTCCACTGCAGATGTGTTTGTAGAAGTTGATGTTTGTTTTTGGTGTAAATTCTCGGGTTCTGATTGCTGTACTACGTTTTATTACTTTGCTAATAGCAAGACAATGCCACCCCCCAGGGTAAAGGGGGGCTGGATATATATCATCGTGAACATTGCGTGCCAAGGGTGGATTTCTCTTTGTCAAGGTTACCACCTACTCGTCCGACAAGGTTCCAAGGACGGATCTGCTCCAAAGCCAGAGCCGGGCCACTTGACCAGTCCTGACCAGTCCTGACCAGGGCAACAATGGGTGGTGTCACCAGACGCGGTTACTTAGTAACATAGCACATCCCGACGGGGCCAGCGAAAGCCCAGCTGGAGAAATTTGCAATGTGGTAAAATTTTCTATGGCCACCTGAGACGCAGCGAACTCTGTTCCCCCCTCACATGGGGCGGCGCGATGTGGTTCGAGGGCGAGGGCGAGGGGCCGACGGCGATGACACCATGCCCTATTGCCGTCACTTGTCCGGCTAGCGACACAAGAAAGAATACATAGTATAGTAAGAACGGCGAACGGCGCTTAGCAGTTAACGGCAGTCAGGTGGAATCCGGGGTACGCGCGTGATACAGACGCTAACGGACAATTAGCAAACAAAGAGTTGTTGTTACGAAATCGCTGCTCGCGAAGGTCATCATGGGACCACAAGACAAGTTTTTGATAGAATAACTATTACCCCATAGTTTGCCCCTGGCCAGCCCTGGCGCCCCGGCAGGACACCACCGGAAAATGGACAAGTCCGCGGGCGCTGGCGCCGTGTTAGTGGCCAATGGGGGGCCGTTGTTCAGCACGCATCGCCGCATCGCCCAGAGCCGTCAATTGATGGTGCAAGAATGATGAGATCGGATGCAACAACGCCTGTCAGGTACGACAAGGCCGTACACGTGTATTACTTATGGTTTCACTTTCCTAGCAAGGCCGATCGATGCCATACAGTACGTAGGTTGCTATCGGCTGTTGCGAATGTTACTAGCTAGTATCCTCGGTCGCATCATTCATGGTACTGTAGGCGAAACCGATAGTATGTATATGTACAGCCGAGCTAACATGATGACATTTGAGCATTACCCGCAACTGACGAAACATACTGTACTGTAATTGCGTATCCTGTGTGCCTCTCGTAAGCGACATTCGTCCGCATCCCGGCCGATGATGATACTGGACTGTATGCTGAGATCGAACCGATGGGGTTTCTTGAACTAGGCGTCGGAAAGCGATTCTCACGGCGTACTGCTGAGCTGAATACCTGCTGTATACTAGTACCTACTGGATGCCGTCTCCAGCCGCCGTATGAGGCGCTGTGGCTTGGTGGCTTGGGTTTCTACAGCACTGTATCCCGGTGTCGCACAGTCTAGCCATATTACGTCAGTCTCATGACTGGTACCTACATACAGACTGTACTATGCTACTCATCTATAGCAGTACCGTAGGTAATATGAAAGACAATAATAGATGGTGCTATAGGACGTGTCTGACCAGGCGCATAATCACCTGATTTACAAAGGAACATTCGCATGTCAGAAACCATAACGAAGACGTGTACCAAAAAACAGGAAATTCAGACATTGTCATCACAGCTGAGATTCTCTGGACATGCCAAATTTCCAACCTCTCCATAGGCATACATGTCGTATATGGCAATTGCAAAGAATACTCGACATTTCTACAGTTAACAGAGCGAATAATAACACAAGATCTTGGTGTTTCGACTTCCTAACTAAGGACTTATACCCAGAGGAACACTTGTAAAAAGGACGCCTAGGCCTCACTAAAAATCACATACTGCATAGTTACTCGGCATAAACAAAATCAACTGGCATATGTCTGGAGTAGCCTTAGTTATACTTAATGAAATGGCTGCTTTTAATAATGATACGACTGCTAGGCTAGTATTTGAAGATGTAACATGTCGCCGTCCTGTTAGATCGCATTAATGATTCAAGTTGCAGTGAAATGACTCTAGCTTCTCCAGGCTATAAATGAGCGAGGCCAATTCTTCGAAATATAACAAAACTTGGTTATTGAGGTGCATTGCTTGAAACCCCTCCGCCTCCTTACAACAGATACCATTAAAAAACGCTTCAAAGCAAAGTCCCTGCTTAAAGGTAATAATGTGACAACAATGACAACAAAAGCTAATCAAGTGATTATTTTGTGTAATTCAAAGTAGGGCAATCAACACCAGTCACCAAATCCGTTTCTAACAAAGTGCTGTTGCATCCTGATGTCTTGGACGCGGTGACTTGTGCTACGACGAGTACCGGGTGTCTAGACATCCGATATAATATATATGATTAATGTCATATGGCCGATCAGATCGTACATTTCCAATCCCGAGAACTACCTGATCCTCTAAGACATGCAGTTGCGAAATCAGCACAGCAGGCGATTTAGGCGAGGCTATTTAGCATAAAGGCCGCAGATCACCCACCCCCTTGGCTGTATCGAAGATTATCTTTTAGAATTCGAGCGTGCTTCCAAGCCCTTGTGACAAAAACCAACACATTGCTAGATATCTATTAAATCAAGAATAAGTACTTCGTCAAGATACCTTGTACGTTGCTGCACATGTGTAACCTGCCGTCAAGCCCGAGGAACTCTATGGTAGTCGAGTCTTTGTCTAGACGTCCATATATGGTGGGTTGAATGCAACTAATAATTAGTCAGCGTAAAATAAGCCGATGATAAGTAACCAATCCAGAAAATTGAAAAGCTCCTTGCTTTCGTAGTATTCAGGACCTAAATTATTCGAGGTCTGTTCAAGTTGCTGAACTAATAAGTTGTAGGCAATGAAGATTGGATTCGCGACCACGCTGTTAGCGTGAGACGAAGCGTGATTGGATTACGGCGTGCCCACAGTCACCGCAATCCATCGCCAACCTAACGCCTTCGTAGGACAAATTTCCCCAATAATCTCCAACCGGTCCCATAACTCAGTTGGTTAGAGTGTCGTACTAATATTATGATTGCGTCGTAACATTGGCAAATGCGAAAGTCGTGAGTTCAAGCCTCACTGGGACCATAGATTTATCTTTTGCTGACATCCTGGAATTTCTATCATTTTGGCGGTAGAATCTGTTGGGAATAGGATGGATTTCAAGGTGGCTGGATGGCAAGTATTGCAGGCAGGATCTAGTGGTGGTTCGGTTTGGCATCGGGGTCACGAGTTGGCATGGATAAAGGCAACGTTCGTGGTGGGAGTATTCATACTCACCCTACTCATGGCTTTGAGAAAGTCGCCCAGCGAGACAATCCAGAGAGAAGCATAAAGAGGTGAGGTGATTGGTTCGTGATGGTCCGGGTCGCGACCTCCCGATCGACCCTCGGGTAGCTAGCCTATTGACCATTGTATGGCCATGGTATGCAGAGCCCCTGGCTCCGATCTAATGTATTCCCTTTGGTATAGGGGAAAAAATGGGCGCATGAGGAACATGAAGGTTGTTTAGGAAGTAAGCTAACTAAGTACAAGGGCCCGTCCACCTATGAGGCTTCGTCTCGAGCGTTTGGTTTATTATTAAAAGTAGCATCGGAAAGTAGTAGCAGTTATTAGAAAAAGAGTGGCAAACCCGATCGCGGTTTCGCAGAGGAAGTCGTTATCCCGGCATACCCGATCATCTCGTTCCCAAAATAATAGCATCAGCATACTGTTACCCGGACTCGAACAATGTTGGATAAAATCATTCCAGCTACTTCCGAACGTTTAAGGCCCGCCGGCTAAGAGGGAAGCACTCAGTGCTTCACGGGACGCCATACCTGCCGGTCCGGCTCGTCCTCCTCGTCTCGTTTCATTGCCTCTCGGACAAATCTGGGCAGTCGTGACTTGTAGGCGACATCCTGGATTAGCTTCCTGCGTTTGGGCATTGTGATGCGTTCCACGCGTTCCCTGCGCTCCCAACAGTTCCGGCGGTGCCGACCTCCCTTCCTCCACCGCCACCGCGACGCTGTTGAATTCTTGTACAAGATCGTGTAGTTCATAGGTCTCGACGTCAAAAGTCGGTATATATTATATATGCCATAGTAGTATGCATGATTGTGTACAGAGCTCGCGCTGAATAAACGTTCACTAATCACGTAATAAAGAAGGCGTGCCAACAACATGAGATACTACGATGAGTAATGCAGAAGAATCTATTTTTGAAGTAATCTGCATATAATCTTGAATAATGTATATATAATTATATCCTGAAGCTTTCTTCAAGATGGTCGAAGCGGACAGGTTTTAAATTTTATGTCTGTGTATATTGTTCGGCAGTACTACTGTAGTCGTAAGACTGACTACCTACTAACGATAGTGGGCAAAAACAACATGACATAAGAAACAAAACAAAACTTCCAAAACTATATCGTCTCCGGTAGTTGCTCAGAAAAGTCCCAACTTAGCAAGTACCCTCTGTTCGAATGTAACGACGTGCCTGTCTACTTGGCAATACCCATGCAGGCAAAGTACTCCTTGAAGGCACCGACCTCAACAGCCATGACACCCTCGCGATCGAGGAGGGATGCGGGACGCCAGTACTCGGGCTCGACGCGAGTCAAGATGCCAGGGTAGCTGGTGAGCCCGTGAGGCTCGGTCGCACCCCAAGGGTTGCGGATGATGATGTACTGCTTGTCACCCTGGCCGACGGACGACCAGCCGAGCACCGAGTAGGCGTGGTTAGCGACGAGGTTGCAGCCGCGGTAGGTACCGCGGTCACAGGCGTGGGTCCAGGCGACCATGGGGCAGATGGTGCGGTGGTTGACGCTGCAGGTGCGCACCAGTCCGACGAGGTCGCTCGCGTCGTGGTTCTCAGTGAAGTAGTACTGCGGCTCACGTCCGTTGATCTGCGCCATGGCTTTGACAGGGTCACCGTGGTGCAACTGGGTGATATCGACGTGCTCCCTGTTGTCGTTACCAATAAGCTTGCGTTTGTTGGAGCCGTCCTCGTCATTGTTGCCACCGCTGATCCACTTCGCGAAGGCCTTCTCATATAGCGAAGGCCAAAGAGCCATGCCATCGCTCGAGCGGCAGTACACGAAGTCCTCGCTGGAATTGTTCACGGGGACCCGGTAGTCGACCTCGACGGTCTGCGTCTTGTTGTTGTTGCGGCCGCCTTTGTCGTGGAACTTGACGCTAAAACGCTGCTGGCGGTCGCCGCTGTTAGGGTCGTGCATCCGCATCTGCATGTCCATTTTGCGATTAATCATCGCTGGGTCCGCCCAATAGACGGAGAACAGCGCGGCGACAAACCAGCTGTTCGCCGTGGCGCCCTGGATCGGATCGTCGAACTTACGCTTGACTTGGAACTCGCGAGACCCGCCGTAGTCGAAGAGAGTGTTGTAATCAGAGATCATGGTAACGCCTCGGTGCATGTTGCGCATCATGAGGATCTCACGAGCATCGCGCCACGAGCTGTTTGGCGGGGTGAAATCCATCCGGTCGTTATCCCGTCGGAAAGGCAGACAGAAGTCATTGATCGTCTGTGTCACTTCCCGGTTGCACACCGTTCGAGCAATGTCGTCGGCGTGCAATACAAGTTTAAGCTTGTTGTTTTGGATGCTAGCTCGCTTGACACGGACATTACCCATGTCCTTCATGCCAATATCCTCAAGGTCACCCAGCTTATCAAGTCGGCTGAGGTCTGGGGTGACTAGATCCTTCTCTCTCAAGATCTTCACCTCCCCTTCCTCTAGCTCCTCTGCCATGCGTTCATCCTTGTTCAGCTTCAAACCAGCATAGAGGACAGAGTGATGCTTCATGTCGAAAAGCTCCTCATAATCAGTCTGAAGAGTATCCTGCATGATTCGAATCGCGGTGATGGATTGGCGATCAATCTTGTGACCGACCATGTTCTCGGCGAGAGCAAACGGGTTAATGCAGCCAACAAAAACATCCTTAGGTTGCGGGTCCGGCTCTGGTTCGTCCTGCTTGCGCGAGCTGCATGCTCGGATATCGCTCAGATCATCATACCCCTCAGGGGCTGGTCGAGAAGGCAGAGAGGTTCGTTCCAATTTTCTCCCTGTAAGTGCCTCAAAGAGCACATAAGGGTCAATGGATGCAGAAGCTCCATTGGGGGAAGAAGTTTGGGAACGAGAGCCGTTGTATGAAACCATCTTGACGACAGGTGATTGGAGTAGTTGGGTGGACTATAGTAATAGGTAGTTCGGATTGTAACAAGTTAAAAGGACTAAGAGCGAAGCCTTGCAGACTGAGGTGAGAAGCTGGTCATTCGGGCGAGGCTTCGGCTCTTTATATCTGTTTATCACCCCTTCTTGCTCTAAGGGAAGGCCATAACAGAATATACGGTCAGTAAGTTGCCCGTTCATTCTACCTGCATTCTTGACAACGCGACTCCCGCTCACAGAGGTCCTTACTGAGCCGCGCGTTTCAACACGAGGTATTACCTAGTATGCCGCCAAGTCCACATCTTCTTTGCTTGACATGCATAATGCATTCTAAATAGACGAGTCATGGATACTATAGTCTGATTTCGTAGATTTCTTCGGCTGCCCGATCGAAGTTTCTAATATCGTAGACTCAAGGGTACGGCAGTAGAATGAGTAACTGTGTGAAGTCATTGATGCTATTGATGCCATCTCCCTAACCTAAGTTGTCACGCCCTCAAAGGCGGAAAATCTAACTTAAAGTTCTGTCAAGAGCGCGGGTCCGAGGAGGTTTATGGTTTCCCAGTGCAATAGTCAATGTTTCCTATGACTGCTGCCCGTCCGAACCTTATTAGTCATAAGTTATAATAGATCCTTATTCTCCTGGGATTCGGGTTCATCTGCTCAAGGGTTACCATGCTGTAGACCTTGACATGATTGCCCAAGGCCAAAGAGGTATATAACTGTGGATTAATATTCTAGATCAAAATGAGAGAAGGTGTCGAAACGTATACCGCAGATGACCGGCTATTTCCTCACTAACACCATGCGATGTTGAACATGAGGGTAATGATGCAGATACAGCACTGCGACAAGAGTCAGCAACTAACATTGGATGATGCTGTGAGGAGTAGAGTCTTATACATGGCTTCGTTACCTGGCTGGACTTCTACAGCTGTCTCGACTCCCCTGACTGAAAAAAAAATCGTCACCAAAAACTGATACGTCGATGCCCAAAATTTTAGTCTTGAGAGCTGCAGGATTCGAACCTGCGCGGTTTCCCATCGCGGGATTTATGGTATACCGAGCCAGATGCCCAATAAACCTAAACACGACGCCTTAACCACTCGGCCAAACTCCCAGAAAACATTGGTATGAATAGGAGGAATCGAACCTCCAATGCTGGACTCGCGGGGAATCGAACCCCGGACCACTCCCATGCTAAGGGAGTATTATACCACTAAACCACAAGCCCTGAAGGGGAAGTGATGAGCTTCCTGTGTGGATTTGCCGCTGGCTAGGACTGTTGATGGCCGCCTCTCGTTGGCTGGAGGTCGATGGTGTCAAGGCGCCTGGGCTAGCGGGTAGGCGCGTAGTGGAGGTATTGGGGGCGCTAAGGCAGCATACACGTGTGCAGCACGCATTTATGAACTGTCCTGATGTTGGTAGGAATAAACTTTGGAAGTTAGATCATGCCACAACATGGCTGTTGAATAGAATAAACGGAAGAGCACTTGCGTGGCCGAGTCATCTGCATGATTGGTTGCGGGGTATAAATGCACGGTACTTTAGTGGAAATAGATGGCTAGTAGAGCCGATTTCAACGCTGCTACAGCGAAACGATGAGCACGCAATGATGTCTTAGGGGCTAAGAGAGCATGAGTTGCTTGACTCGAGCGCTGATTTGTTACCTGGAAACAAGATATCTTAATATTCAAGGATATGCGAGATGAGGTCAGGGTAGTTCTAAGCCTACCAGTATATTTAGTAAATCATATCTAATCGCCGAGGAGTATAAAGTCTTCGGCGTACCTGACAATCAATTGTATGACAGGCCGCCCTTGAGTATGTGAATTAATGCGGTGCCATCCCTAGATGGTAATACCAACCCCTACTGCATGTGCCGACTTGCACAGACCAAAACATTCTGTTGTCTTCGGAAATAATCCCAAGCATCTCGGCTAGAGTGCCTTAAGACCAGCTCCCTACCCTCTTCTCGAAAGCGCGAGAAACATCTGGTAAGGTATTCAACGTTACTCGGCTGAGAAACTAAGTCAAAAGTTATTGGTCGCATCTTTCTAATGAGTGGTATATAGCGGGGATAACATACGAATCAGCTGGCCCTCGGGCAGGCGATAGGGGATTGTGTTTTTAACCTCTGCGCGGTCCATTTCGACACAGTTGGTTAGGATGGGGATGCACGCTAGCGATATTGGAGGACACAGACAGCAGAGATTATGTCCGGTACGCATATCTAGTCTGTAAGTATATTGGTTCCGAGAACTACAGCGTGTGCAGACGAGGTCTGACATTGTATATGCGAGCGCGTGATAATTGACATCTTTTAGGGGCACGCGGCTAGTGGAGTAGGGCCGCCGTATTTGGCTATGGACTTTTTCCGACAGTTCTCGAAACAGACAGTATCGGAGCACCTGGTAATCTTTATCAGACCAGAGGAGAAACTGGGCCTGGCGGTTGAGCTGAGTAAACCTGGCAGCACTGGGAACGTCGAGGTACCCGATGATGATATACAGGAGTTCCAGTGGGAGTTTCGAGAGTCTGCCCAGATCGGCTAGCACCACGGGGGCAAGTGGCATTGCGGAAGGGGTGGCCTGCGCGGAATATTGACGACCAGAAAACACGTGGTGGTATCTCACGAACGGTATGGAGAGAGATACCGGTATCTCCGACGTGCTGATGAGAGGTCATCGGCGACGAAGGTTGAGGCGGTTAGCCGGGCGGCCGGGCGGTAGCGATAAATGATCGGCACTGGTGGGTCGCGGGCAAGGTAGAAGGGGAGAGATGACGAAATCGAAAGGGGAAGATGAGAAGAAACGAGGAAATAGGGGGATTGCATGGAAGACACAGAAGTAGAAGCTTACAAGTGTAAGGTGTATTTCTGGAGAGTTTAGGTGAGGCGCGCGCTTCGCCGTGCCTTCCTCGCTCTCGGTGACCAAATCTCATGCTCCTCCCTCTTGGGCTGCCACCACCTGCCACCTGGGTACTGTAAGTCAGATGGGTAGTACACCTACCTAGAGCCGGTGGGTGGTTTACCTAATAAAGTGAGGCGTCGTAGTGCCTATAGCCTACCTCCTACCCCATACATACTATCGTACTTAGGTAGCTGGCTATTAGTGTCTGCCTACTGTTACTGTACGTAATAGACACGTTCACTTTCACTTTCACTTCCCATCATAGGTAGACCACCCTCATAACAACATATAATGCTTAACTAATAGGTTGCAGGTACAACACTACAGATATTTACACCTGTATCTACATGACCGTTAAGCTTCTGATCCTTGCGTGTGGCTAAAGGTGTCGCTGCTGCTGTCCTGGTTACGGTGTGGCTGGCTTAGTAAAGAGGCAGCCCCAAACAGGCCATGCATGACCCAGCTCACGCACATCGATAATGCCGATGATGGTCTGTTTGTTAGCTTTGCGAGTCATCCTAATGAGTGTTCCTCTGGATTTCCCGGGAATTGTGTCGACTTATTTCCAGAGCCAGCAGCTTTACAAAGATGGCAGTCGATTCTGAGTATTAACACAAATTCGCAACGGCAAGAATCGACCAAGAACCGCAATACTGCGCATGAGCAAAGCCATAGGTTTTCGTCTACATATACCTATGTAGAAGAGGCCGCTGAACACGCTATTGGTACATCCCCACTAACTATCCTACCTATCTACCGAGTGGTCTTGACCTCGAAGGTGAATTCCCCATCTAAGAGAGGCATCACCACCTTAGCTCGGTGGAAAGGGCACTGATCCGCTCCTTAATTCATCTTCGCTTTCCCTTTCCCTTTCCCTTTCGCTTTCCCTTTCAATGCCCCTGTCCCTTTCAATACCCCTTTCGCTTTCTTAATAAACTTTCTCGGCTTCCTATGTACGTTCATAGTATACACAGCCTGCCCGTCTTTATCGCGCGTCGACGTGGTCTCAAAGTGGTATTTGCGCTTCCTCGGGTTCTTATCGGTGCCGCCGACGGCCTTGGCGGGACCCTTCCCTCCGCCCGCGGTTCCTGCGACGACGTCGTCGTCGACTAGTGCCGCCTCGCCCTTCCCTTTACGTGCCGCATGCAGCTTTTTGAGGGTCGTATCGGAAAACATATAGATGCCTTTGCAGGAATATATCTGTCGTGAAGTTTTAACAATCGATTCTTCTATTTCTAATGTCGTCATCGCATGGTCGTGTATGGTAGTGCTTGTGGAGCATATGCGGAGGAGTTGGATCTGGCGCTCAACAGACTGGGTCCGTTCTGTAGCTCGTCGTACTGTAGTATCCAGAGTAAGCAGGTGAACCAAGTGGAAACTAGAAAGGATCTCTTCAAATAGAACTATATCCGAGTTCAAGACCTTTCATTCCCAGAAACTGGACTGAGGCGAGAGCAAAGTGGTCGTGGCATTTACTTACCCAACCAAAACAATCTTTCGACCGCGTATGCCGAAGGAGTATGTATCATTTTCTTCTTGGCTTCATCGAGAACTGCGGTTAACAGCCTTTCCGTGAAATCTGCACATTCTCGACACGCCTTTTCGGCGGCGGTTAATTCTTCTTTGAACGTCGCGAGCTCCTTAGCCTTCGCATTTATGTAATTTTGAGACGCGGTTACATCCGGCTCGGAATTGGTGCTGGAACTCGAGCTAGAGTTACCACCAGGCTGCGTTTGGCCTTGATCGGGTTGGACCACAGGAGCTTCTGGGGGTCCTGGTGGCTTGACAGTCTGTGAAGCGGCGTCCTGAACCTTGGGTTCTTGCTCCCAGAAGTCTTTTTGTGCAGGGGGGTTGAGATGTAGTATCGGAGGAGTCTGGAGGGGCGCCAACTCAATGGGGTTGACGTCCTCGCGCTGACCGTCGGCGAATGGCTGTACCGGAAATAAAGCCAAGCGAGCCTTCCAGTTCAACTTCTCCATTGCTTTCATCGCCGCGCGACCCAGGGACTCGGCACGCACGGCATCGGGGTTGAAGCAGGGGCGCATAGGGCCGAAAAACTCAGGTACGGTGAGCTCACTCCCTCGGGACAACAACACACTGACGCGATCTAAAAGCTGCGCGACTGCAGAGTAGGCCACCAACCCAGAGGCGAATTCTTCTCCATCCTGATACGGCGGCACCCATACTTGATAAAAAGGGAGGAAGTCGGCCGGACCTTCTAGCAGCCTTTGCAAGCGCTCACTCGCTGTCTGTAGCGTTTCAGACCGCCTCTCGATGCTGAGGGCGTCTACACCGCCCCAGTGCGTCATGCGGTTGTCCTTCCCGTAGCAGAGTATTAGGGTTACATAGTATGGGATGTCCGGGGTTCCGCCGTTCACGACCCAAAAAATGAACTCCTTGCCGTTCGAGGCGAGGGGAGGGATGTCTTCTGCGAAAAATTGTTCACGAGTTATTTCATCAAAAACCTCATCGGTTTGTGAAAACCAGTCAGGCTGCCCGATCACAGCACCAGTGTCGCCGTCTAGCGGTACAGCGCTCATGTGCAAGCCAACTTTGTCCTGGACATTTTGGGGGTAGGAATCAAGCAACGCATTCAACAGGATCTGTAGAGCGAACGGGTTCAAGCCCGTGGCTCGGGTGCGTTGGAGGAGGTCAAACACATATATCTCCTTGTCGATCGGCTTAGCATCGGCTAGATGATCTCGCAGCGATCCCTCAGGATCATCGACAAAGGGGGTGAATGAGTATTTGGTCCCTTGGTTGACAATCGGGGCATTGCGTATCCAGGAAAGCGGGTTCTGGGTCTTAGGACCCGGTTGTGGTTCAGCAGCATCCATTTTTACTCGAAACACTTATGTCGGGCGTGCGGTATAGGAGAATCTGAGATATGATGCTCTGAATATAGGAGTGCGATGATGATGGCGAATAGGGCAGACCCGCGTTGCTTGAGTAATTGATGTATAGCATTCATCCGAAGAAGCCACAAATTAAAGCAAATACACCTAATGAATAGAAACAAGACGCCGTTAAACATACTATACATTGGGGACAACAAAGCAACATGACCGCAACCGGTTTCGTTATGATGCTTTCGCAACACCCATCCATATTTTCTTTGTTCTTGTAGACTTAGGTGCCTAAGCTACGTGTTTAGCTACGTGGGGACGTGGCATAGAAACATCGACATGAGACAACGACGGAACTAGTC